GTGGGAGGGGTGGGGGGGGGGGGGGGGGGGGGGGGGGCTCGAATAAAATTGAAATAAGCTTGCCCAGAGAGCTTGTCTCACAGCAGGGCACCACTCAAAAATAGCTTCCTCAGAACTTCAGTCATCTTTTGAGGTTTCTGTACTCTGCAGGCATAACCCAGACCTTTTCGGGATCCGCAGCCTTTCTTCTTCAGCAGAAGGAAGCCCTGCTGTTGTTCATTTACCTACCTGGGTCCCCTGCGGCAGCTCTGCAACACAGACATTGCGGTCACCAGCACAGCGTACAGACCCAAAGCCTGTTAAATCGCAGCAGAGAAAAGCAAAGAGGAAGGAGCCAGCCCCAAGGAACATCTTTACATACCAGTCCCTTCCAATCAAGGGTTACTAATAATTCTCCAGATGGTGATGAGTGGGTATTCAACCCGTTTCCGATACACAAACAAAGCTCAATTTTGGCTCATCCCAGATTCAAATCCAGGTCTGACTAACTCCAAAGACTATCTTTGAGGCTGCTTGAAGCCTTTGATGAAAAACTAGCTTGTTTCTATAAAAATGGACAGCTCTGTGCAATGATGGAGTCGTAATGTATCGACCCATATACAAAGGGAGCCGAGAATATCACTAAAAAGACATGTATTGCTTGGTAAAACTGATTACCAACAAGCTAAGATGCATATGCATGAATTATTCATGGGCTAGAGGCCACTGCACCTTTCTTCTTCCTATTTTGTGCTTTCCAGGAAAATGTTCTTTCTGACTTATACTTCCCCTAGTAATGGATGTGGGAAGGATCTTGAAGGTTACCTATTCAGATACTGGGGTGTGGCTGAGTTTAGAGCTGTCCCTACAACACTGTGGAAGAGATCTTACGCTGGCAGACCTTATAGATTAATTTCTTCAGGAAGCTATAGCCCACTGGGATCTTACCCAAAGGAATGGGGCAAGTTGGTTGGTCGATCACGCCCTGTCTGCAGATAGCTGGCACGACCATAACAGCCATGAGGAAGAAGCAATGGATGCCTCTCGGAGAGTCTGTTTATTCTCTCCAGGCCAGAAGCCTAACAGACAAAGTAAGAGGCCCTTCTCCAGGATTCCACTCAGTACCAGGGAGCAGAGTCGGGGGGCTGAAAACACAAAGCCCGAAAGAGGGAGAAAGAAACACCACCCACTGGGGAAAGCCAAACCTTGATGTCAGATACCAAGTCCCAGATAGGTCTGTTCTGTGGTGAAAGAGACAGTTTTCTGCATTTGCAAAGCTGTTTTGTAAAGCCAGGCTTGTAGCTCATGTCTGTCTTCCCAGTGCTCAGGAGGCTGAGACAGGAAGGCTAACATCTGTTTGAGGCCAACCTCGACGACACAGTGAGATAATGATGGTGATGACGATGGTGATTTTGAAGTTCACCTTCTCTTTCCCAAAGCAACAGTGTATAACTTAGATTACAGTATAACTCAGAGATTTGAAGGAGATGCTTCATAGTATGGGTGATTTTGCTCGGCAGCACGCCTGTTTATCTCCTGACCAAATATGCCTGTTCCTTATGCATTTGAAATAAATTCCTTGCCGTGATTTGGAGACAACAGCCTTACAAAATTAAACATATGTCTTTAAATGTGAGTGCTTCCACTTAAA